GCCCTAGGAAGCCCGCAGTGAGGAGAGGGGCCAGAGAATAGTAGACACTTGTCCATCCAGAACAGTGGTAACGGGTGCTGAGCAACATTAGGGAGTGGTCACTGCAGTCAGTTCACCATTGGGGACCTCCTCCTCTCTAAAAGAATGATTTTTCCATCTTCACTCTGCCCTGAGGTCCTGCAGTTCTCCAAGCTGACCATTCTCCCTTTTGTCAGTGATCTCATGAGTATGGAAGAGTAGAATCTGTGTTTTCATTTCCTTCTCAAAGTGGAAAAATGTCCTACTAGCTACCAACAAGCTTTCAACGGAGTCTAATTGCTTTTTTCTTGAGAAATGACAGGGTTTTCTATTTATCAACTTCTTTCAGTCTATTTATAACTTGGGAGTATCTTGGCCTCCTCTTTCCTATTTCACTCCACCCTTATGAGTAAAGATATTTTTCACAGTATAATTTTTATCTACAAAGTATCTTTCTTCTGTACCAAAGTCTTTTGACTATAGCTAATCCTTTCTCCCATTGCTGAAAACACCAGGCACTTCAGACCCAAGACTCAGAGGATTTGATCTGGATCTGAACTGAAAGTTTGCTACTCTGTGAAACTGCTTTGTGAGCCTTCAAGGGAGAGAAAGAAGAACCAGTTTTATTTAGCTCTTAAGCCTATGAAGCACAACAATGACCATTATGACCCAGGTCTCCCAAAAGATGCTTCAGTGCCATGCATGTCTTCTCATAAACAGCAGCTGTCTAATTGGACTTAAGGCCTTATCAAGAGTCCTAGAAGCCCAGGAAAATATCTATGGCTAGTTAGTTGATGGCTCTGAGAAGAGAATATATGTCTGGAGCATAAGGTCGTGGAACTTAGAAGAGAACATGATTGGTGTTAGGCGAGAGATTGGGGAATGTTTTATTTATTTTAACTAGTATTTCAGAGGAAAGGGATAAAGTCATGCAAGGTGTGACAATATGAATGAAACTGGAAATTATTTAAGGCACAGAAGGACATGTATTACATGATCTCACCCATACGTTAAAATTAAATAGTTGTAACTCACTGAAGTTGGAAATATGATGATTTTTCTCATTGGCCAGTGACATCAGAAAGTTGAGGCTTGAGGCTGTACTGGACTTGGATGCTCTGAAATAGTGCCAGAGGAGGACGAAGCTCACAGAACTGTAGACTTTCTGTCCCACGTGATCCTGCAGCCATTCAGTCCCAAAGAAACACTCAAAGGCTTTCATATTAATTTTAAGTTGTTTGATCTATTAGCTCAGGCTTATTATTAACCAGCTCTTACAACTTAAATTAATTCATAATTCTTTAATTCTTGTTTATGGCTAGCCCTGTGGCTTGGTACCTTTTATTAGTGAGGCATTCTCATCTTGCTTCCTCTGCATTTGGCTGGTGACTGCATCTTTGCCTTCTTCTTCCCAGAATTCTCCTCGTCTGGTCACTCCACCTATACTTACTGCCTGGCTATTGGCCAATCAGTGTTGTTATTCCCATACATGCGGGTTCTTATTGGTTCTGATATCTAACATAGGTTTCTGTGAGTTTTCTTTTTCATTCTGCCCCTTGAGTGTTCCATCTTGTGCCTCTCAGTGCGCTGTCATTAGCATCACTATTGAACTCTAAAAATTAAGAAATTTGCACCTCATCCCAGAGCTGCTACATTAGTAACTACGTTTTCATGGCATTTGATATTCACCATTGTGCATAGTAAGGGTTGAGAGGTTCCTTCTCTCTGACCATTACTTTCTCTTGTGAGAAATGTATATATGTGTGGTATATAAAACAAGCATGTGGCACTAAATGCATATTTTTCTATAGAAACATTCACTTTACATTTCATCTGTCTTAAGGGTTTCCACATGGGACTTATCGGATCTTCTGCTTTCTCATTCCTTAATGGATCCAGTGTGAAATCATGTGACCACATCAGAAGTGTCTGAGGAATATGACAAACATGTTAAAAGCATGACACTTACGTCTACCACTCTTTTCTTCCTGGACAAAATATAGAATACACTTTTTACTGTAAACAAGTACAAGATAACTGGGGTGGAGTTTTTTGCTTTTGTTTCTTTTAAACAATGATAAAGAATGTGACCAAAGCAACTTTGAGAAGAATGGATTTATTTCAACTTACAACTTCAGGTAACAGTCCATCACTGAAGGAAGTCAAGGCAGGAACTGGAACAGGAACCATGAAAGAACAGTGGCTAATGGCTTGCTTTTCATGGCTTGCTCATCCTGCTTTCTTATACTATGACCATCTGCCCATGGGTTGCATGACCCACAACGATCTAGGTTGTCATCTATCAGTGAATAATTAAGAACAGCCTCCTATAGGGTTACATACAGGACATTCTTATGGAACACACATTGTCAGTTGATGTTCCTTCTTGACCCTAGCTTGTGTCACATGGACCGAGAACTAGCCCCATAATGCCTATTATTAATGGATTTAATTAATTAAAAGTGAGTTATCATTCGTTGATCTTTATTTCAGGAAATACTGTCCTTCTGGGATGTGGCCATTGATTTCTCTCCAGAAGAGAGGGAATGTCTGGAGCCTGCTCAGTGGAGTCTGTACAGGGATGTGATGTTGGAGAATTACAGCAACCTGGATTTCCTGGGTGAGGCTCTCATCTATAGTGACGTCTTAGTTCAGTGTTAGTACGTAATGTCCTCACTCTACACCTTATCTCATGGGAGCTTGTGCTTTCCAACAAAAAGTTTCATAGTCTTGGTTTTAAATAAAAATTAGGGAATATGTTTAGCTAAGAAACATTGCTTTCTTTTCTGTGTGTTAACCTGTTTGTGTTGGAAGAATGCATCTTTCATACTAGTGGGAATGTTAGAAACTCAGTTGCAATGGGCATGTACCTTACATCTTAATGAAAGTGTTTCACAATTCAGTTTTAATATTTTTCCCTTAAATGAGACTCATAATCTGGACATTGTAAATTACTTTATGTATTGTAGTAGTCCTGTGAGAAGACACTTAAGGAACCGATTGTCTACAGTAATTTGCTACATCATTTCTTTCCTTATAAGCCTTGTACTGGAAGGGCCATGTCAGTTCCCAGTAGGACACTTAATCTTGTTCCCTTTCCTACAAACAGGTCTTGTTCTCTCTAAGCCACACCTGGTGACATTTCTGGAGCAAAGACAAGGACCTAGAGGTGTGAAGATACAAGAGGAAGCCACTGTGCATACAGGTGTGTAGGAATGAGGGGTTCAAGAACAGAGGTGAGGTTCAAATATTCAACAGAAAGGCCGGCTTTCCCATTAGCCTTAAATCATGATATTATGGAGATAATTCTTTAGGTCTCTCATTGGTTTTATTGTCAGAGGACATCTGCCAGATGTTTCTGACAGTTAAGTCTCTTAAACTTGGTAATTCCCCAATGTTGAATGTTTGTTTTATTTATTTTAACTTCCAAAGGTCATTTTTTCTAGTTTACATTATAACTTTGCACTCTTTTCTAAGCTCTGAAAATTTGCAAACATTTCTAAGACCTATGTGTGAAGCCATTGTAGGATAATAACTTCAGACATAAATATATTTCATATCACTTATAAACACATTGATCAAAATCACCTCATCAGAGTTCTTTGTGAATGACTAAAAGGTATTTTAATTTTTATCATATGCTCACTAAGGATTTAGAATGCACAGTCTTTGCGTACATATAGTCATAGATTAAAAACTGTCTAAAATTAGAAGAACTTTAAGAGCTAATCAAATTAGATAACTAATTTGATAATCAATTAGTTATCAAATTATTGACAATTCAAGATTCCTTTTTCCTAACTTTGCAGTTTGATTGTGTGCTGTTTCTTGGCAATGGATAACCTACAGTCAACTGTCTATAAGTAATCTATATAATTTTGTGGGTAGATTGTTCAATTATAAACACTTCAGAACAGTGTAAGATGACAGTATCTTTGAGCTCTAGTTATGTGACCATGAGAACTGTGCAAATTGAACATTGTCTCTTTTCAGTGATAAGTTGTTGTTTCATCTTGTAAATTAATAATTCTTAGAAACTTGGATAATTTTAACACCTTTTCATTGACAAAATATTGTCTTTGACAGAGGTTGTTATTCATAGGTAAACCTATGTTTTTCATAATTTTAATATTGAGATGTTTGTCATTCAAATAGAACATAAACTGCTACTGTCTGAAATTTGTGAGGTGTATTACTTAAGATTTTGTAGACATATTTGTTAGGCACACTTCCATTCATGCATAAAAATTCTTAACTTCATATTTAGGATAAAAATGGTATTTCTATAAGGCTCCAATCTCAGACAGTTCCCATTAATCTCCCCCTTTTCCAGTTGATAATGTCATGTATGTCTACATACAATACCTATGTTTAAAGTATTTATTTCTTTGTGTAATGCCTTTAAGAGATTCCTTTATCATAGATAATTACTACTTAATTATCTACTTAACTTTGAATAATGTGCCATTTTCCACCTCCTCCTCCTCCTCCTCCTCCTCTTCCTCTTCTCTCTGATTTTTTTGAGACAGGGTTTCTCTGTGAAATTCTGGCTGTCCTGGATCTCACTATATAGACTAGGCTGACTTTGATCTCATAGATATCCACCTGTCTCTGCCTCCCCAGTGCTGGAATTAAAGGTGTGCTCTACCACTGCGTGGCATGCCATTATTTCTATATTCAATTTGATCAGGCTTTTATATGAATAGAAGTTTAGATTTTTTTCACCTACTATATATTCTGAGTTATTCTCAGTGAGCATAAATGTAAAAATAATAGTGTTATTTCTGATTTATCCATGAGAATGTAAGTATGGGTAATTATCTCCATTTTAAAGATAAACATTATGAATATAAACAATGTACAAAACTTTTGTTCATGTCTCAACTTCTGATCAACAGGAAAAACAGTCAATGAATGTAAAGATTACAACAAGACCTTTTATTGTAATTCACTGCTTATTCAACACCAGACAGTTGATATAGGGGAGAACCCCTACAAATGTGAAGAATGTGGTAAAGCGTTTCGTATGCGCTCAAGACTTTCTGTACACCAGAAAATTCATACTGGAGAAAAACCCTACAAATGTGAAGAATGTGGCAAGGCCTTTAATACTCACACAAAACTTTCTGTACACCTGAGAATTCACACTGGAGAAAAACCTTACAAGTGTGAAGAATGTGGTAAGGCCTTTAGTACTCACTCAACACGCTATAGACACCGGAAAAATCATACTGGAGAAAAACCCTACAAGTGTAAAGAATGTGACAAAGTATTTTCCTACCCTTCATTGCTTAAGGTACACCAAAGAATTCATTCTGCAGAGAAATCCTACAAGTGTGAAGAATGTGGGAAATTATTTTACTGTCCTTCGTTGCTTAAGAAACACCAAATAATTCATTCTGCAGAAAAGCCCTACAAGTGTCCAGAATGTGGCAAAGCCTTTCACTATCCCTCATTGCTTAAGCGGCATCAAAGAATCCACACTGGGAAGAAGCCCTACAAGTGCGCAGACTGCGACAAGGCATTTTACTCTTCGGCATTCCTGAAGCGGCATCAAAGAATTCACTCTGAAGAGAATTCCTACAAGTGTGAAGAATGTGGCAAACGGTTTTACTCTTTTGCACACCTTCAGGATCACCAACGATTTCATTCTGGAGAGAAACCATACAAATGTGAAGAATGTGGAAAAACATTTTCTACTCTCTCATACCTTCCTTGGCACAAATTACGTCATTCAGGGGAGAAGTCTTACAAATGTGAAATATGTGGCAAGATGTTTTACTCTACATTAGACCTTAAAAAACACAAAAAAATTCATACTTATAAGTGTGGGGAATGTCACTATGCCTTTCCAAATTACTCAGCCCTCACTGAACACCAGAGAGTTCATACTGGAGAGAAACCACACATATGTGAACAATGTGGAAAAATCTTTTCTAGACTTGATAGCCTCAATCAGCACCAGATTGTTCATACTGGAGAGAAACCCTATAAATGTGAAAAGTGTGACAAGAGTTTTTTCCGATCTTCCTCCCTTAGAAGACATCAAGGGACTCATTCTTAATAGAAATTTGACAAGTATGTACAATGGGATAAAAATCTTTCTAAATAGTCATACCTTATCCGAGACAAATGAATCCGTTGAGTAGAGAAGTCAGGCACATGGGAAGAATGATGAGTGCCTTACCACTCAGTCAATACGTTCCACCAACAATAAAGTTCATTCTGGAGAGAAAAAGCCCAATTCTGAAGGGAGTGACCAGCTTTTAGTGTTTCTTTATATCTTAAGTAGCATAAGAATCTTCATCAAAGCTATAAAGTGAAGGATGTGGTGAAGGTTTGAATTATTGTTCAGTCCTGGTTCAACCTCAGTAATTCTCACCTGTGAGAAACCCTACTTGTGCAGAAAAGGACCAGGACTTAGCTATTCTTCATGGTTATATAAGTTTGGAGAGTTCATTCTGATGAGAAAGTCTACAAAAGCAATAAGTGTGGCAAGTTCTCTATGTGTTCTTTACACTCTAAATATCTGCAGATACTTCATACTGCAGAGACACTCTACACGTACAATCACTGTCCCTAAGGCTTGAACAGTACTTAAGTCTTCAGCAACACCTAAGCATTGATATAGGTGAGAAACCCTGCAAATGCAAATGTCCTCCTTAGCTTCAGCTGTCAACTTCACCTAGCCCAGTATTATCTGAGTGGGTGCTTTTCTGGATCAGAGTGCCTTATGGGCATATCCAGGGGTCATTTTGTTGATTGGTAAGTGGTGTAGGAGAGTCTACCAAGGACATGCAGCACCACCCTGGGAAAGTGTTATGGGTCACACAAGAATTTTGCCTGAGCAGGAGGCTAAGAAACATATTAGGACGCATGGTTTCTATTTCTCTTCCTGTCCCTGGAAGAGGAACACTGACCCTTAGATTGAAATAAAAATGTTGCTCCCCAAAGTTGTTTTTGGCCCTACCTTTCATGACTCCAACAAGTTAACGTATGACAGCAAAGGACACAAGGAGGCATTTCACTCTTCTTCATACCTCTTTCCACAATACTCTGTATTAGATACAGTGTCACAAAGCCTTTAGATGTATTCTGCCTCTACTGGACAGCAGAGCTTTCATACTACAGAAAAGTCCTATTGATACAAAGAATATGACCAAGAACTTTGTTTCCCTTATTTAACACCCAAAATTTCATGCTGTAGAACTTTGTAAGAGCAAAGACAGTAGCTACATGTTGAAAAATTGTTACAAACTCAACATGAGAAATTTAATTGTGAATGAAACTAACATACTTAATTGATAAGAGAAGTATTCTACTCTTCATCCCTTAACATCAAAAAATATATTTTGTATAGGAAACCCTACAAATTAACTAGTGATAGAGCCTTAAATCCTTAGGACCCATGAGTGAATTCATATTGTAGAGAATCCTTCTACATAAAATGACACTAGGAGCATCCATTTTTATTATACATACCTCATAATAGCAAATGAACTACTCTAATATCAATAGTATAGCAATGTCTTTTCTTATAACTTATACATAGAAATGGATATAATTGTAAGCAGGGTTTTCTCTCCCACAATCTCTCTAAAATAATCCTTCAAAGGCTTATTTTAATTATAAATGCTAGGCCTATAGCTCAGGCCTATTACTAACTAGCTCTTACACTTTCAGTTAATCCTTTTTCCATATTTATACTTTGACACATGGAAGTACCTTTATTAACATGATACATTTGTCTCCTGTTCTCTATGTGTCTGGCTGGTGACCCTCTGACTCCTTCCCCTTCCCATCATCCTTAGTTTGGTTGCCCCCCCCCATATTTCCTGCCTCGCTACTGGCCAATCAGCATTTTCTTATAACAATTCGAATGACAAATCTTTACAGTGTACAAGAGGATTGTTCCACAGCATTTCCCCCTTTTTGTCTAATTTAAAAGGAAGGTTTTAACTTTATCATAGTAAGATTATATGCAACCAAAACAGTTATCAAGTAATAATTATAGTTGCAATAGCCAGTCTATTTGTATTTGACAAAATTAAAGAAAATGCTCTATTATCTATCTTCTCTTGTTGAGTTTTCTACCTAATTTATTTTTTATCAAAACTAAAGAAGACTATGACTAGTCTTTAACTGCATCAAAGGCCCCAGAAGAGTAAAATGTTATCTAATGACAAGGACATCAGGCTTCCTGAACAGTCACCCAAAGTTTCTCTAATGTTGGGGCATCCATCCTTGACCTACAGGTTTAGCATATCTGACAGACTGTCCTGTGAAGTAGGTAATTATGAAGGGCTGCCCTAACTTGTCTTGGCAATGTTCAACATTTGTGTTTATTTGTTTCCTGTTTGTTCAGTGTACTGTCAGCACTTGAGGAAAGGGCAGTTTCTTTGACCACATGGATAGCTATTGCCATAACAAAAACAAGCACCATGTGGAGTTTTTTTTTTTTGATACCTATCATCTTTTCTGAAGTATATTGGTGCTGCGAGGAGCAGACATGTCTCACTGTCATGAAAAGCTTTAGATTGTTAAACATATTAAATGCCATATTCTGTAGGTCTTTGAAGTATTTGAAGAACATTTGTCAATCTAAATATATGTGTGTGACCTTGAAAACATACGCAACATGGCTAAAAATTTGACTATTACAGATGTCTATTAATCTGTATTTCTTAATTATATATTTTAAAATGAACTACATAAATATAATACCTTAAACAAATGTGTGTGTGTATATATATATATATATACAATATAACAAAATTAACTTTTAATTTGTATCAGTAAGCCAAAATCCATACCAATATGTAAGATTAATAGTTTTTTGGACTAAAGTAGTTTCAGTAATCTATCCTTTTTCCAATCATTTTTATATCATATCCCCCTTCTTTTAGAAAGAGATCTTTGAATTTAAATTAAATTTAAAATTTAATTTACTTTTAGCTTTTTTTTCTAGTATGAGCAATATAACATTTTGTAACCAACTCCCTAAACAAAACAAAAGTCTATAATTCTTTTGGGGAAGGATGTGGATGTGGTTCTCTAGCCTACTTCCTGTTGATTGGGGCACTAATAATATTTGGGCAACATGAGAAAATTTAGAATTATAGTCAAGTCCTGACTGGTGTAATCTGTGAAGCTATATCATCTCAGCTCTGGATATAGAATTATGAGGAGACTATAACAGAGGCATTTTGAAATGATGAATCACCTGAACCATCCATTTTCATTGGTATTTGGTCTGTCTGCTTATTCTGAAAATACATAAAATTTTAAATACATATATATTTGTATCAAAATAGACTGCATTGTACACAAGTCAGCCAAAGATGATTTTCTGTTATGTGTTTGAGCAGATAAAATGTGTATCATATGCCTTGTAGATCTTCCAGGTTTATTTATGTCTGCAGTCAGGATTTCAGAGTGTCTTCCTTGATCAAACCTGATTTTATTTAACCTGAAATGAATCCACAGCCTCCCATTTTTGTTGTGGAAATAAAAGCAGAACCTCTTTCCCAAAGTAACATATCTTTTTATTTGTTTTGTTTTTCTTTTCCAAGACAGGGTTTCTCGGTGTAACAGCTATAGCTATTACAGCTGTGTCCTGGAACTAGCTTTGTAGACCAGGCTGGCCTTGATCTCACAGAGATCCACCTGCCTCCACCTCCCAAGTGCCAGGATTAAAGGTGTGCACCACCACTGCCCAACTTGAGTTAAATTTTGAAGTCAATAAAAATTTAAAATATATAGGTTGGATTAATGCAGCGACATTTTTGATCAAATATTTCTTTCCAGGTATTACTGTATCCTTGGCCGTCAAACAATTCCAAATACAACACAAGAACATACAGTATCCAGATTCTCTGTGTTTTCCATCTTTATGTTTTTTTATATTACTTTTCTTCCTTTTTAGGACTTTATTGTTGTAAAACTATGTATGTATTTTTTATGACTGTCCATACCGACTCTTTTCATTCCCAAGCCTATGTATATTTTTAAACACACTGTAAACCATTTAGAGGTTTTTTGGTTTTTGGTTTTTTTTTTGTCTAAATCCGTCTTTACTGCCTATGTCTATCTTTTTTGATCATCTGAGTCTTTAAATTGTCAAGTGGTGTAGCTAACTCCAAAGGAATAGCTTTGGCAGCTGACTCTGACCAGTTCCTTGGTCTGTGAGAGTTTAGCTTCATCAGGGGAGTTTCTGGGTTCATGGCATCACTGAGTAGCCTGCCACCTGCTGCTCATAAACTCCTTTTAAGTGTTTGGTAGCAGGACCTCACAAGAGAACTAACTGTACCTCCAGCACAAGCTAGGAAGCTACATCTTGAAGGAGCCATGCCTCTGCTTGCTGCCACCAAACAGCGCCCACCCACGGAAAGACCATCATCAAGAGGCTGTGCTTAACACTGTTCTTTTGTGTCTTTAGAATCCTCTTTTTAATTTTCACATGGTTTATGTGGCAGTTCATGCTGAACATTTGGAAGCCATATATTGGCAGAAGTTTCTTTGTCTAGCAGCCACTCTCAAACACTCAGAGGTTTATATTTATTGCAAATGTTTGGCTGATAGTTCAGGCTTATTACTTACCAGCTCTTATCTTTTAAGTTAACCCATATTACTTATTTATGCTCTGCCATGTGGCAGTACCTTTATTAGCATTGCATCTTCATCTCCTGCTCCCTTTACATCTGGCTGGTAGCCACTCAGACTCTACTCTTCTCCTTCCTATCATCCTTAATTTGATCACCCTGCTTGTATTTCCTGCCTAGCTACTGGCCAATCATTTTTTTATTACACCAGTTGTAGAGACAAATCTTTACGGTGTATTAGCATTTATCCTTGGACCTTATTTCACATTGCATTAGTCTATACATTTGGCTTTTTGTGAATCTCATTCCGTCTTCATTATAGCTCTGCAGTAAAGTTTGAGGTCAGCTACTAAGCTATATCTGATTATCCTTTCTCCTATAATTGCTTTTGTTATCTCTGTTCTTTTATATTACATTGTATTTTTTTTCCTAGTTCTATGGTGACTAATGTTATGGAAAGTAAGAAACAAGAGTGAGGCTACCAAACCATATGGTTATAAGTAATGGATTAAACAATTTATAAAATGCATAGAGAAATTAAGATTGCAAACAAGACATCCATGGAAAGTAAATGGGCTGATATGGAAAATCGTTGGTCACATAAGCCATAAGACATGGTTTGGGGAGGTGAGTAGAGGGTTGG